AACTTTACCAGCACAGGGCCGCATGCTACTCATAGATGAATTTGTTCCTTGCTTGCGTATCTACTGTCATCAGAAGAAATCAGCGGCACACACCAAGGTAGCTGGTGCGATCATGCATTTTGTGCAACCCTGCGGAACGAATGCCTGGGCAATTCTGTCTGGCAGATGCTTTTATAGTCCTGTCCAGCTTACGCTTGTGCAACTCTCTTCAGAAGGACCTTGTTGTTAAAAGTATCCGCTGCGTTAGTGTTTGATACATTACATGTTAATTTTGGCGACAAAACTTCACTGTTTGTGACTTCCGAGTTACTAATTTCGGCGCCAAAATCTTTGTATATCCATACCGGAGACATGGACATACACTAGAAGTGAATTTATACCAGGTTGGGAGCAGTTTTTTGAAATTTCAGCTTCTAGCTTTTCTGGTTCCTGAATATTAATTTTGGCGCCAAAATTTCCACCTGTCTGTATATGCGACATAGTCGTGCGCGGGAATGAATTTACATGCGAACAGGGAACATTATCCTAAAATTCTAGCTCTTCTGTGGTCTCTGACTTATTAATTTTGGCGCCAAAACTTTCGCAGGCCTACATCTGAGATTTAGGACCATTATTTTGAAAATTCGACTTCCTCTCTTCCGTGGTCCCCAAGTTAATATTTTCGCGGCCAGAAATTCATGTGTCGCCACCTGAGATCCAAGCATGCGGAAAAGCTGAAGTTGGGTTTGCAGGAATCAAACGCAGGCAAGGGAAATCTCAGATTTGCAATCTCTTAGCTGTCCTAGTTCATGAGTTATTAATTTGGCGCCAAAAATTTCACGTGTCTCTACGTAAGATCTAGGCATGCGAGGAAGCTGAATTTGAGTTTGCGGGTTCATATACAGATAAGGAGAATCCTTCTAAAATTTAAAACTTTCACGCGACCGTGAGCGAGAACCTTGACGCACGAGGACGCTGAATTTGAATTTGCGAGGTCAGACACGGATAAGAGTTCCCCATAAAAATTTCAGTTCGTAGATTCTCTAGTTTCGGAGTTGAAACATCCAGGTAAAATGCACTCGAGACACACATACACACAAACAGGGTATCGACAATATGTGTTTTGTGCAACTGTTGCAGCACAAGACGCATAAAAAACGAGTCAGGTATTTAAAGCTAAGTTGTTATAAACGGTGCAGTTTTCGAAGTAAAAGTGTGCAAGCTAATGGGTATAGGCTTCATAGTCGAATTATCACAGTTATTAGGGAGCATTGGATTGATTAACCTCATTTTCTCAGGTTAATGTTTTGAATTTTAGTATCAGGATGCAATGTGTTTTCGATGAGTTCAGTGGCAGTTTTTCGGAATGCCTTGTGGTCCCACCATACGCACAGGTACG